GATAGTGATAGTGATAGTGATAGTGATGGTGATAGTGATAGTGATAGTGATAGTGATGGTGATAGTGGCAGTAGTAGTAGTAGTAGTAGTAGTAGTAGTAGCAGTGGCAGTAGGAGTTCAGGTAGTAGTAGTAGTAGTAGTAGTAGTAGTAGTAGTAGTAGTGGGGGGTCGTGGTAGTAGTTGTTGTTGTTGTAGTTGTAGTTGTAGTTGTTGTTGTAGTGGTATTGGTAGTGGACTGGTCGTGGTCGTGGTCGTTGTCGTGGTAGTGGTAGTTGTAGTGGTAGCAGCAGGAGCAGCAGCGGCAGCAATGAGTAGCAGCAGCAGTAGCAGTAGGTAATTGTCGTAGCAGCCGCAGGAGTCGCAGTAGTCGTAGTAGTCGCAGCAGTCGCAGTAGTAGGAGCAGTAGGAGTATGTAATGTAGTAGGAGCATGTTGTGGACACGCAGATACACGGATTCCAGGGCTGCGGCGAAGCAAGGACATGTTTCCAGGCGGAGCCAACTTCTCCCAGGTCTGAAGTGCGACAATTGCAAGACTTGGTATCGGCATGTATCGTGCTGACAGCTGCAGGTGTAGCTTGAAGGACTTGTTGCAACGATAGTAGGAATAGCACTATTAGATGGCTGACCTGCCTGCGCTTTCATGCGCCATTGTACGTTCTTGTTCGCGGTGACTGCTGGACATAGTCTTGCTAGGCCCTCCAGTGTGCAATTTCCTGGAAGACTACTGAAAGGGTTTTGCTGCTCTTTGAGCGGCTCCATTGACCAGAGCATCCATGCCCTGACGGAGATCCGCAAAGAGTCGCCTGCTTTTGGCTGCAAGGCCGCTGCGCTGCAGGTCTGCAATGTTCTGCTGTTGAGTTTAGGTATTGGACCAGGGACTGTGGAGTTACGAGTTTAAGGAGTAATTTATGGTTTTGAGCTTGTTCAAGCGTTGGCGGAAATTTTTCTGATGTTCGGACCTAGTGAACTTGGACCCCAGAACGCAGACATACTGTAAATGACGCTGCGCTCAAGGGTTCATGGTGAGTATGTCAGCTGTTGCGCGGCTCTCTAAGCTAAGGTCTTAGACAACTTGCTTCACAGTTAACCACGCACTTAGCAATGGCATGCAGCCGCCACAGCTTGATGGAAGATGCCCATGACTGTCCCTCTCTGGGCCCGGCCGTTGGATCGGCACCAGAGGGGCGCTGGTATGTGGGCTTTCCATCCTTCAAGGACACCTGCAGCGGAAGGAGGCAGATGCCAAGACAAAGTATGAGATGCATTGCCAAACCTTACTTTGCAACATCACAGAGACACTCTCCAGCCAGCGTAAAAACTGTTCGATTTCATCTTGCATTTCACCCGTTTGCAACAGACTGTAAACTGCGTGACCAGGATACTACACCTTACTCGTATTCGACTGCCAAGCGATCGTGTGCCGCTTGGAAAAGCGGCCAAGGACAGCCCGAGGACCGAACTCGCCCAGCAAGCACTGCCAAGAACCTGCGTCATGGGATGGTGGCACACACAGATCGAATGCGCAGAGCAACAAGAACTACATCTCCCTATCACCTCTCTAGAGGTTGCCGCTTATACGACCAGCCGTATTTCTGCATGAATTGGGGGAACCAAGCCGAGCTCGTAGAACCAAGCTTGACGTTTGCTGCTACGCATCGTGCGTCTGTCGAGGAAACTTACAGATCGAATATTCCGGTAACGTGGCTTCATGGAACTGAGCTCGGGGAGACGTATTATGATACTGCTATCGCCCTTTAGATAGTTCCAGCAACTTAAGCGATGCACATCTTTTCTAAAGTAGACAATGCGTAATGACCTTTCTTGCTGTGGAACTAGGTCTGGCTGTGAATGGGCGGTGAGGGCTTAGTGTAGTGAGGTTTTCGAGGATGGCATTCTCGATGAAGAGGCCTTGAGTGATGTGGATTTCGGTGATGCACCCAGCTGTCATCGAGCTGTTGATGATTCTCACACCTTCTACAAGTAGATAAGATTGATTATCGTATTTGCGCATCCAAGTTGAATGTTCTCGGCCCTCGAAACATTTATTCTAGTCCGAAGTTCGCGTCGCAAGTTCATACAGTAACTTCGCTGTGCGGTAGGAGAAGAGGTTGAGACAAAAGTGCGCGAAAAGATTCGCATTTCATGTCGAGTCTAGTCGCCAGCATTCGTGCCATCATCATCACCTCCACCTCAACGACGACACCGACACTCGCAGCACTTCAGCTTTGCCCCACGGGGCGTGCCAGGGCAGCGTTAGCAGCATCACTGTGCTGCCGGCGAGGGCGCCCACGCCGACGCTAACCTCCACGACCCGGAGATCCAAAGTGGGAATCGTTTCGAGTGATAACTTTACCATCATGACAATATGTAATCAGCACTAGCCGGCCGTTCTGTAGCTAGCAATCTCTGACAAATGACACATTCACAATGCCGAGCCCGCCTGAATTCCTACACCCCGAGCCTACATGCCACGAGTGCCTGGTTCTGGGCATCTGGACCGAGGCCGGAGAAGAGAACCATCCTTACCAGGGCAACATCTTTGCAGTTTGCTTCGAGAGGCAGGGGTTGGCCTACCTAGGGTAGCAGACAAAGAACCTGGAAATTTTGCGCAGACCACCTGATCAGCGACGGATCAGGGAATTAAGACACGAAACTTGTATTTCTGCAATGATTACCCATGCTTGGCCCTCTGTGCTGTGGGATCACAGAAGAAGCAACGCTTGAACACAGCATCCTTGTTTCTCAGCCAGGTGCATTCCGTCGGGGACTGCCCCGAGGATCGGCAGCACCACACTGGGAGCAGGAGCGTGGTTCTGTTGCTCTTATCTGTAAGGTTTGCAGCGAAAGCTGGGCCGCCTTCGGTGTTGGGCAGGGTTCCACTGACATTTTGGGGCTGTGCTAAAGAGGCAGACACGTTCATGATCAGAAGCCCAACCGAAGCAGTGCAAAGTTGTCAGACATGCACGGCCTGCATGGCATCAACGAGATCTGATTTATCAGGTGTTGGTCTTTGGATTGGGCATCTTTCTGCAGCCTTCATGCTTTCGTTGCGGATGAAGCATCTTGGTTTGTCGAGTGCTCGTGGAACGGCGCTGCGATCTACTATCGCGGGCTCATGTTCTCCTTCTGCTAACTGTAGAACCCGTATCACCACAACCAAGAACCACTGGACCGTTCACCACAAAGACATGCCGAAAGAAACGGAGTTCGGGCTCCGAAAACTGCAGCACCCTCCGACGCCTGCCGACGACTGGTGCTGCTGCGGGCACCAACCTGGCACTGCATCATGTGCAAAAAACCGAGGGCCGAATTTTCGGTTTGGCATCTATGGAGATGGGAATTATGATACAGCTCTAAGCAAGCCTCTTTGGGCAAATCACCGAACCTTTGTGGCAACTCCAACCACTCAAGGCTCTCGGCCTATGGGCGACAAAGAAACCACACCGACCTGCGACGGACCCTGGCCGGCAGAAGCACTGCCTGATCCCTAAGCCTCACCATCTCTCACCCTGGACTATTTCACGAAAAAGGCAGGATGAAGAACTTCGCCGACTCGACAGGAGCAGCTCACTCCCATCGCTGATGAGGTTGGAGGCCTTCAGGGCTGTCAAGACTTCTAGCTATGAAGCACAGGACATCGCATCACTGCCTAGTGTTGCAAGTGCAATGGTACAAGCACTACGCTGGACCGAGGAAACTCCCACAGCTCGACCAAGGAACTGCGATGCACGGACATGATACGGCCAGTTTTGGTTGAAGCTCATACGGACTGCGATGAGAAGCGCGACATCAGTCCTCACAGTCCGCTTGCAACGGAGGCCTGGAAAAGAACATAGCCGTACCTCGGTCGAGAACGAAAGGGCGGTGCAAGTGAGTCGCGCACACACGCACGCACACACACAGAGTCAGGATGCAACAAACAAACACAGATCTCTACTCGGACAGCTTGCACAGACAACGGAAAGCAGTTCGGGGTAGGGAGATTCTCGCAGTGCCTCTGCACCTCATGGCTGAGGTCCTGCCACTTCCTGACACGTGCCGGGCTACATCACCGTAAGGAAGACGATCTGCGCCTCGGTGGCTAAAACGAGGCGCGCCAACACGACATTTGATGCTGAGGGGCGCGGGAAGAGGATGGAGGCGCAACTGAGGATGGACTCAGCTACGACCCAATCCAGCGCATGGACGCAAAGCATCGTAAACTCGAGTTGTCCTGCAGCGGTGTAGAGCAAACTAGGTAACCAGGGCGCCCACCATGTTGCAGTTCTCCGGGCTCGGAAAAGGATCTGACAGGACGACGAAACTTGGAGCCGTAAGCGCAAACAGGACTCGGCGCATCCCTTGAAACCCCCCAAGACTGGCAAGCCGGACTCAGGGGATCGCCGGCCGCCTTGAGCAGGCTTTGGTTGTGAGCGGTGGCGGCTTACATTATTCAACAGCTCCGAGCCTGATCCGCCGCAGCCGTTGCAAATAACGGCTCCGGCATGGCAGCCTGCTGCCTTCTAAGCACGACAGGCTCCAGGCACGAGCCTCAATCGCTGTCGAGGCCTCGTTCGGCACGAGCAGCCGCACGATGAGGGTTGGGACTGCTGGAGCCGATTTGCAGCATCCAATGCAAGGTTTATCCACTTATCCCTCGTTCTTCATCCCATCCGCTGGCAACGTCTCCCAATGGCAAACAGGATTTTGTCCACGCTGCCAAACACACCACTACGCGAAACGGGTCTTCTGTCACAACCTATGCCTTCGTAGAGCGGGGTGCCAATGCCTTAGTGCACGTGGCTTGCAGAGTGCTTTTTGCAAGAACAGCCATGCAGTGCCAGAAATTATACCCCCTTTGACACATCACGATGCAATACCCTGGACTCAGAACGTCTAAAGTCTAAAGCCTGCGAAGACCGAGCTCCCTTTTCACATCGGTACTTCAGGCTTGGGAACCTCTTGCCCGTCACATGAGAGCTTGACAGTCGTGATGTTGGGACTAAACTCCAAAGCTCAAGACCCCAGCGGTTCCACAGGGTGCAACCATTTTTTGCACATATACATGTATACATACATGCATAAATATGCATATATATATATACAGAATACATACGTACATACATATACACATATACACACACATACGTATGTACATACATATAAATATAAATAATGTGTATATATACATTTATATGTGTGTAATACACACATTCAGTATACATATATACATGTAAGTCATGTGCATTATACACGCTGCGAACTTGCATTCGACTAAGTCTACTAGTTGCCCCTGAACTCCCACCACAGTGACCCTGCCTCGCAGCCGTTGGACACAACACCTCCGACCATGAGCTTGGTGGTCTTGATCTGGTATTGACTGCCCGAGGAAAACGACCGTTTCCAAACGTTGAGCGCATGGTTGTCACTTCTCTTGAAGCCTGCAGCATCCACTTTCTCCCAGCCATCGCCACCGAGTGCAGCATCGACGCCAGCGTTGAACTTGTCTTTCATGACCCACACGTAGAGAGTAACTGGTGCTTTGTATGAGATTGTCCAAGTGCCAGCTTTCGGCCAAGTCTTTGTACCGCTGTACATGCCGCCATCGAGCACAGAGGGAACGTTTTGGAGCTTGTATTTGCGCTGTCCTGGGTTTGTCAAGATTCCTTCCTTCATCGTGGTGATGGAGTTCCATCCGATCCCCAATCCAGACGAGCCAGTGACGGAACCGCAGCCCTGGCTTCAGGGGTTCACTCGGATCATCTTGGATCCATGATTCTCAGCTGCCCTACTAGCTAAAACTATGAGGAGCAAGTGCGCTACAGTCTCAGTTTACTGTTGCCTACACTCGCCACTCGTCTCTGCATGACACCAAAGGCCACTCCTCGTTGACGGGTTTGCAGAGTCCGCCCGCAGCCAGGCACTGGCCACTCCTTTCAGAACATGCTGCGCTTTTCACCTTTAGGCTAACCTTCTCTGGGATAGATTCTTGAAGCGAGGATCATAGACTGAACTTGCCTGGTGTCACCTGCTGTGTGGAGACATGCTGGTCAGCGGGAGGAGACTGCGGCGATGAAAACAGGGCTAAAGCGATCCCAGCTTCGCCGTGACAGCGCATTGGACGAAATGTTTGCCATCGTCACTCCTGTTTGAAACATGTCTGGTCACGGCTGTCATGTTCCAGAACATCTTGCTACGCCTCATGGTTGCTGTCATGTTCCAGAACATCTTGCTACGCCCACAAAACCAGTTCAGACCTGCTACCGGCACTTATCTGCACATCATAGCAGTCTGCGCGGCGTCCTTGTGTAGGAGTTTTCGCATTCCTTGGTTGCTGAAGGAAAGTTCTGCGAAAGCATTGCATCCGTCCCCATGACAACATGACTGGACTAACGTCGACAAGAAGTCTCACAGGCCGGAAGCCTGCATGAGGAATGTCTAGACGGCTTGTGCCCGAAGCTCATAGATCGGCTAGCTGTTGACACTTACGCATGCTATCCCGCTGCTCGTAGACGCTCTGGCACGGCAAAGGAGGACCCCCAAAACTCAAGGCCAACTGCATCACAGAGAACATCCAAACTGTATCAGACTGTACTGACATTACCTGGGCATGTCACCGCAGCTCGAGCTGCGTCAAACCCATCGAATCGATCAAAGCGGAACAGTGAGCCACGTGCAAAACCACAACGTTGAGATTTTAGCAATACTTTCCGGCAGATAAGACCAACAACTAATGTCTAAGGCCATGCACCTTGCATCTCTTTTTCAGGGTGAGCTGCCCAGCCAAACAAAGACATGAAAGTTCGGCTGAATGTGAGTAGAGCTGTGTTCGACGAATGTCGTTGGCTCCTGACCGCTGACATCCTTTCAGCTTGCCCCCCTGAGCAAGACTCAAACACAAAACATAAACACATAAACCTTGAAATCTGCAACCCTCAACTCAACAATCGTCACACAAACGGCACAACGAAATCGCTGAATCGATTGCAGCAAGCTTTTACAAGTGCCAAATATTCTCGGCCAGAACACCGTGCTGTCCGAGATGGCATCGCAGCCCCAGGCCTTCTTCGTAACGCCGCCTTTGCACCAGCGCGCAGCCTGCCACTGCTCGAACAATAGATGATGGAAAAAGGTAGAATGCAGTCTTTGCGATGCTGGTTGGATTCAGAGACGACGTGAACCCAGGCCCCCTCATATGGGCTCTAGGCGTGCTGGACATGAACCAGACTTGGCAGCATACGGTGGCGAGATTATCAGGGTCGTTGGGGCAAAGTCTGCAAACAACGGCTCCCTTACATCTTACAGTTTAAACACAAAGCTGGCGAAGCACAACTGCTTTTTTAGCCATATCTTTGTTGTGCTCCGCCTTACAAAAGTCATTGGAGACGAAAGAACAAAACTGAGCACCAGTGAACCCGACAGACGGTCCACGGCAAAACACGAGCACATGCCTCCGGAACGATGGCCGTTGCAGCCGGATTTTTATTCAGGTCCGGGCCTGAGCGCCCAGTGCTACTACCATGTCCGTCGCACTTGATCTCCCCAAGAACATCACGAGTACGAGAAACCATATTAAACGTGTCCAGGTACTTACCTGTTGTCCGGACCTACTGAATCTTTAGGACGCTCTCTTCAACTGCTCTCTCTCTCTCTGACATTGTATGCCAAACTGAGACTAGAAGGGATGAAAGCATGTCTGTTGCTCGCCCATGGAACATGCAACAAACTCTGCCAGCACACATGTGTCGTGGAGGTGGCACCAGCCCGTTTTCCCGAAGAAGGTCGCTGCCACACCTTAGGAGGCACTTGGGTTCGTGAGAACCACGTGTATGCGGTCGTTCATCGATTTGTACTTAGTGAATGGAACGGAAGTGGCCAGCAGCAGTACAAAGAGCCGCCCACTGTCTAAGATGTCTAAGCTGTCATTCGCACAATTGTGCAGCTTTCTGGTTTCATTCAATTATCAGGGCATGGTGGTCCCATGCTGCCCCTGCCAAGTGCAGAAAGCACTGCAAAGCTTCTACGGAGGGAGTCTTGAGGTCGAGGAAGCGGGATTCCGTAGCCCGCTATGTGATTGTGCCATCAGATGCAGGGCATTCGCTATCCCTCTTCGACACCGCTCAGGGTAGCTGAAAGTCAAGAGCCAACTTTGCGGCAATGCAGCTACAGCCCCGAAGGAGTGGCGACGTAAGCCACCAAAGCCGGCCGCCAAAACCACTGAAAGCATCATGGCGAGTTCGCGCTCGCGGGTTCCACGGTGTGCTTCGCTGGGCGGTGCGGGAGGGAAAAACAGAAGCCAGGTCAGAGGAACTCGATCAATGAGGCTGCTGTATGCACTTTCCTGGTGCACACGCCACCAACTTCTTATGGAAAGGCAGCAAGCCAAGCGCGTCAGCCGCCGAACACACGGCCAGCCGAACACACGGGTCCCACCCACGTCAGCCGCAAAGAGTCCCATGAAGACCGTGTCCCCACGGTCCTGGTTCCGCTTCCAAAATTCAAAACGTCTTGGCCTTACCAAGAGTCGTAGGCACCTCCCACAAGCAAGATGCCTGAGTGATCCTGTCTCGGCCGGATGCTCCTCGGAGGGCTCGGACGATCCACAAGGCGATCCCGTCGCAGGCGTTGTCACGGTCTGTCCTGCACAAATAAGAAGTGGTGGGAAGAGCGCTCGACACGGGGCCCTGCAACGGCAGGCAGCAGGTGTGGTTCCAACAAGCCCAGTGCAAGCCGACGGCTCTCCGCTTGTTGGCGGTTCAGACAGAAGCTCAAATTCCTGCCCTTCAACACTGACGGTCAGCTGCTCGACATCCAAACGCTCAAGCCTATAGCCTGCATCCACGGGCAAGGACTAAACCCTTGACTCGAAAGGGTCAGGCCTAAACCGAAACTAGGGAAGAGCAAGCCGCAAGTCCAGGCACGCGGACGCAGGACCACTCGGGCGTGAGCCCCCCCAAGACTACTGGTTGGGGACGAGCCTGAAGAATCCAAGGCTCTGCAAGCAAAGGGCCAATGCACGCACGCAGGCAGGACGCAAGAGGAGAAGAGCCGAGCGGAAGCAACAGCAGGCCATAGCAGGCAGCACTCCAAGCCGAGGAAGATGCCAAGTCCAAGTCCGGCAAGGTTGGGTAGAGAGAGGACAGGGATCGAGCAGCGGAGGCGACGAAGTCGTGGGGAGGTGCGGGAGCAAGGAGACCACCGACGCAGACTAGAAACTCCAGACATAGAAGATAAAGCGAAGTCTCTAAACATTTGCTCGTGCCGAGGAGATGTGCGTCGCTCGCAAAGAACATGCTGGTCATGACATCGCATGATATGCTTCCGGGTGCAGGACGGGTCGCAGTGCAGTCCTGTTGTGGCTTTTGCATGGGTTTGGTGATGGAGTTGCGTCGGTCATTCCGAGGTTGAGTTTTCCTGGCATCTGTGTGGCTCGTCCTTCCGAGGAGCTCCTCCGCGTTTCGGAAAGCTACCACAGAACAACAACGAACGTGCAAGCATTCAGGCTCCGAGTCCATTTCGATGATGTACGAATACTATCTCTCAACTTCTTCCAAGAAGCAGGTCTTCTGCGGGCAGTTTGTGGCCTGCTCGTTGCCGGAACATTTCAGTGCACACCTTGCAAGGCAGGCAACTCACTTGAAGCGCAAGCACTCGTCTGTGGAGGGACAGCTGAGGCGGCTGCTCGGCGAGTGTCAACCCGCTCCAGCCATCGCAAAGGTTGTTCTGGTCTGCATTGTCAAACCTTTGACAGTCTCACACGCCACACAGGAACGTCCCGTTTGGGCACGCTTGCTTTGGCTATCGGATGATCTGACAGCCGGACATTGGTTCTTACGAAAGCGATCATCGCTAGCAATCTGATGTTCTTTCGGCATGGATGCTCTAGTCCGGGGACCGTGGAGCTCTGAACGGGGGAGAAGATCTGGTGATTGATAGCAGGCCCTGCAACATCACTGTTTGTGGTCCCAACACGTGTTCACATTCGTCACGGTTGAGTTCATGCGTAATCCCAATAATGACCATTGCAAGATGGAATGAGACATGAGTGCAGGAGAGCCGCGTGTAATATTTGCTGGAACACTTGGCGCCCTCGATTGCCTTCATCGGGACCTCTGGGCTGAGTCAGATCTAGCAGTCGCACCGGAATTGTCTTGAATTCGGGGTGACCTGTGACCAGTGCCATCAGTGTCAGTGACAACGTCTGCTCTGGGCGAACCATGCTTGCTGACCGTCACCAACCAGCAACGCTCGGGTCCTCGTGGACGATGGCAGTGGCATCGTCATGGGGCTCCGCTTCGGGACCTCCCGGCCATGAAGATCTGCAAGCTTCCACGCTGCAGTTCGCTTAGGCCGGAGTGTTGCTGCGCACAGACTGTTGCATGTGATGTACATTGCCTATTTCAGCCCAAGCAGCAAGAATCTAACAAATGGCACCAGCCGGTCTTCGGATAAAACACGGCCGCACGACCTCGCAAGTGCTCAGGTTCAAGCTCGAGGGTCAAGCAGGATGTGAAGAAAGCCGAACCCATGGAAACATACATTTAAACTCTGCGACTCTGCGTGCTGTCTTGTGGCAAGTCTTGCGCGGGCAATTTTTAGCCTTCGCGTGGATGCTGCACTTCTCCGTGCACCTCGAGCAGAGCGGGTCTCCCTGCACAAGCCGCTCGCCTTTGGCTGCTGAAGTTGAACACCCTCCTTCTGAAGAACAAGTCGCTCACAGAGCTACAGGGACACGGTTTTGCGTTAAACAACTTGAGTGGACGGCTGATCTTGCGTGAGTCCGCTCCATCCATCGCAGCTGGAAGCTGGCTTATACCTTGATTCGACCAATGGCCGGATCATTGGCGGCGATTTGGAGCAACTCACGGTTCCTCCTAACCACATCCTGTCGAGACCCGTGCGTGTAAGGCGTTGCTTTGCACCTCTGGCCCTGCACTGCTACCAGGGGAACCTGGGCAGGTTCTGCTGAATCGTGCCAGCAAATGCACTCGGGTGGCTGTTGAACGGCCCACATTTCAAACCATCGCCTCGCACAGGTTCGCCTTTCGCGCGACCATTCTCTTCTGCTCAATGTGGCCCATGCAGCCCGTGTCTGGATCAGGGAAGCTGCTGTGCAAAACGAACTGACACTCCGAGGCTCCACCCCCCGTTAGCCAAAGAGGACAGCAAAATTCACAAATCGTTGACTGTCGCCGCCCCTTGAAGCCGTGAGCGCAAGTCGCTACGCTCTCAGAGACTAGCCGACTAGCCTCGCTTCCAGCAGTTCTTGGACCAGGCATAGCAGGTTCCCGCCGGGTTGTCGAAGTCGTAGAGGTAGTGCGCACCACAATGGTGGAACCTTTCCAAGACTCTGCCGCTCCCGGCTTCAAGAAACACCCAAACCTTTCCCTCCAACACCGAGACCTATCCCTAACTCCCTTCCTTCTTGCGTGAACTCTCCCATGACATAACCTGAATGCTTGGGTTCCCGACATTTTGTTCGCGATGGACTTGCGCACCATGACCGTGTCCTGTGTTGCATCTTGCCAACCCTAATAAGCCAACACAGCACGCAGAAGACAAGCTCCAAAAAGCTCTCGAACATGCTTCCTCGTCTTCACAAGCAACTGCTTCCGGGCCGTAATTGGCGTTGTTCACGACAAGCTCTGAGCCTTGAACAAATGTCATACTCTTAAAGATTGAACTTGCCTGCTCTCCCAAAGCTACTTGCAGATAAACATAGAGAAACTGTGTGTCTTCGGCTTCCCTGAATGCCCCCACGAAAACCCAGAACTTTGACACGCAGCCGTCTCGCAGAAACACATGGCGCCCAACAAGGAACTAGCCAATGGAACACACCAATCCAAACCTGCTGAGGCATAATGTTGGAGAAATGGAGTGCCTGGATCCAGAAGAAAATGGCATGTTCCAAGTTACTTGCGAGATACAATATGACTTCGTCACCTTCTCTGTCAGCGACGGCTGGGCAGGAAGACACTTTGCCTGAACGAATTCGCACCCGGGTGCGCGTTGAAAAAACAAGTTCGGAGCAATCTAACACGGTAAGCTAAACCCTAAACCCTAAAAACCTAAACCCTAAAACCCTGAAAGCCAAAACCCTAAACGTCCTGTCTTCCGTGCCAATGCTCTACGTCCCCCGGCTGGTTTTCGGAATCGGCTCTCCGCTTTTAGAAATGTTTTTTCTTGCAGGCTGTCGTGGTTCCTTTTACATGCATCGATCGAAACTGGACTCGGGCGGTGTCGGTTCGACATCATCACGAAAGGATTTGGCTGGGACTCTGGCCCATGATGTCCATTCCCCAAATGCACTCCGCTGGAGCGGACACTAGGGTGGCCAGCGTCTTGGAAACCGAATGCACCGAGTCAGAAAGCACCAAAATCGAGTCGGAAACAAAGACGGACGAGTCACGAAAAAGAGCAACAACAAGATTCTTTCAATTCAATCCACCTGTCAAAAACTCCTAAGCTGCAGGGACTACGTATAACTTATAACTTATTGTAGTATGTGCATCGTATGCGACATCATTAGTCTTTAGCGCTAGATAGCGAAATGCAGAGTCTCCCCGAATTTCAGATCGTTTCACGTCGATGGCATCGCCATCGTGACCATGTCAGCATCATCGTCATGACCCATCACAACCTCAACATGAGTGACGGCTGTATGGGTGAAAAAGCCAAAACATTCAGAGGAAAGGGTCTTCAATCACTGAGAGGACTGCAGAAGTGAAACTCCAAAAAGGCATGCATGGATTAGAAAAGCCCCCTGGGCCTTAGACCTTAAGAGGAGTGACTGGTTCCCGCAAAGGGTTCACTTGCTAAAACAGCCCCAAACCGAAACCGCCTTCAAAGAAGGCAGGCTTACACATGTTCAAGCGCCATCGCCTAATTACGGGGCGGCTTGAGAAAGAAATGTGGGGCATCCACTAGAGGAACATCGCACGCTTTAACAAGTCCCAAGCCTTCCTTCCTTCCAGCGGCTGCTCTCTTCCCCTGGCCTTGCAGAGCTTCTTCCTCCGCTCTGCGACCACGGCATTCTCCTTGTGGCTCTTGCAAGCCCCGCCTGGGCTTCGCAGAGGAAGCAGCTGTAGCTTTAGTGCCATGCCGGGCAGTCCACTCTTCGCACACAAACAAGTCACTCCTGACTTCATTCCTTCCTCAACGATGGATCAGATATGAGGACACCAAACTCCCGACGAGCCCTTACGTCGTGCTTCGCTCTTCGAACCCACACGAGCTATAGCACCGCGCACATTTTGCACTGTTGGTGGACCACACTAGTCGGCTCCTCGGTCTCGACATCCCGCCGTCCTGGTTGTTTTGATATTGCGAAATTCGGCATCGGTGCGGCTCTTCTTCCCACCACAGTCCTGTGCCTATGAAGTATACAGCTCCCGAAATCGCGCCCCCACATCCCCCTTCACAGTGCCTCGCGTATTTTGCGGTTGAATTCGTGTTCACAGCCTGGTGCATTTCCGCCTACCAAACTCGTGCTCCTGCCACAGCACCATGCGTTCTTTGACTCATCGGGTGGCGTTGGGAGCCTCGCGGCTGCTCCTTCAGTAAGTGAAGTTTGGATTGCTAGGTGCTCTTTCACCGTCTTGGTCTACATTGACACAGTTTTCGAAACACCGATGAAGCTGCATGTGCACAGAACTTTTCTGCAGGGCAAACGGCAGCATTTTCTTCTTTTGTCTCCGATTCAATCTCTGCTGACACAATGTGCAACGGCAGCGACGGCTTCTTCCGACGCAGCCATGACTCTGCGGTGATTCATTTGCAAATCTGATAGTCTTGAAATCGGCCACTTATGAGGGCGTACACAAGCACACAGACATGCAGATCTCAAAATTAAGGGTCCCCAAAGGCAAGATCCTCATGTTTAACTCCCCTCTGGTCACAACTGAAAGCTGGGCATCCCACTTCGCTGGAAGCATTTACCCTTGTTGGTCCATGACCAACAAATAGAGCTGCTGGCCCGAAAGTCGTAGAGATGCCATGCACCACAGTGGTTGAACCTGGACCGACTGAGGACACAACGAAGGCAGAAAAAATGGGTAGACTTTACCGTCTATTCGGAACGATTTCAGCTTTCAAGCGCATGAACGTCATGCCCTCAACTCTGTGTTCCGAGGGCCCAGCATGTTGTTCGCCAAAGCCTTGCGCACATGCGGGGTGTCGGCAGCGAAACACGCCTTCGCGTTCGGTCCTTTCTCTTGGCCAACAGAACAGGTGGTGACTGCAGAAACCGTCAGCTGCATCATCGTGGGTGAACGAGGATTCACAAGCCCGGTCCTCTGTTGACCTTGTTGTTAATCAACTTTCCACCTTGCGCTGCCCGAGCTCAGACTGCTTCACCAAGCTAGTTCGGGTCGTGCCAAGACCAGGCCACCGGTCTGATCCCAACATGCTCCGACTGACCGAGATGCAAAGTGCAAGTGTGACTTCTTTGGTCAGCTCGCTCTGGACAGGTGTGCAAGTCTCCTCCAGTCATGTGGTGTCTGCCCCGTTGAGCGGTACATGTCCGGCTCACTACCACATTACCCACTCTTGCAGACTGTCCTGCACAAGTGCCTGGCTGCTCTCGTTTGCCCGACTTCGGATCTTTGCTGCACCAGCTCCCAGAACGGTCACTGCTAAAACAAGTACCTGGAAGCATTGTGGTGGCTCCAAGTTCACTGCAACGAGCCTATCCATGCTGCATGCCACGCATTGCAGGGCATCAGCCTTGATGTGCTTCATTGCGGCGGAAGAAACTGCCTGGAATCTGCCAAAACTCTTGCCCCGCAATAAAGTAGAGTGGAGCTTCCACGCGAAGCTGATGTGGATCAGCTTTCTGCAAAACAGTTGGGGCGCAGAAATCCTCATGTCACGTGTCATGTCCTTCCAATTCCTATCCAAATCTCAAGACCTGTCGCGATTATGTCAAGCAGCCGCTGGCGGAGGAGACCGTACAACATGGATCTCCCGCGGCACTTCTATTGACTCCGACCCATGAGCCTAAACATGCCCGGTCTCTCAGTGAACCTGGCCAGCTCAAACAGTGTTTTGGTGCACAAAGCCAAGCAAGCATCCTTTTTAGTAGATCGTCCTGCGCAAATCGAATCCCTTGTGAAACTTGGTTGCAGTAGCTTGTGGCAGCCAATGTGGCTCCGTGCCAGTTGTCGGCGGAACTTGAGCTGCGAACTTCCTCAGTATTCTCCTTACGACCTTCTGCGCCACATCCTGAAAGCTTACGCACGTGCCCTCCTTGAGCCTCCTTGATTGGGCTTGGTAGGGGATGGCCAGCCACCAGCGGACAAGTCCGCAGTCGTGTCAGTAGTGTCGTGGGAGGATGTAACTTCTCGACCTTCTTCAAGTTCAGCTTGCTGATCGTCGTCAGATGGCCAACCGACCATCTCTAGTAGGGCAGCCTAGTCAGACCGACCAAGAGATGTGATATGGGCCATGCATCTGTGCCAGGGCCCCCGCGCAGCCAGCCTCTGAAGGTATCGACGAAACGGTTGAGCCGTGATCCCCTGAACCCGCGCACTTCGGAGTCCGGACAGTTGAGATCGTAGACTCAGCCGGAGACGTTGCACTTTCTGCCGTCGGGGTGATGTCTGGCGGCAAGAACCTCGAAGACCCACAAAGAGCAATAAGCTCCCATAAGCTCTCGCCATCGCTTGGAGCTCGGCCCTCCAAAGCTGTCGGCCATCCTGAAGCTAAACGAATCTGCATGTCATGACTTGGAATGTTGTACCAACTTATAAGCGGCCTGCAACGTTTCCAGGAAAGGCTGTCTGCGAAGTCGCCGGTAAACGCGCAACATAACCTTCCCGGTCTGTTGCATTGCCTCCTGGCTTGTCAACTCGGCGGACTGGTCAAATCCTCATGAGAGAACAAGAAAGTCTCCTGGCATTTGTTCCCGGACCAGCGGGACCAACACGAGCTTCGAAGGCGAAGTGCAGCGCTGGCCAGTGGACGCCTGTCGAGAGAACGTCGGGAAACGGCAGACAGGAAGCCTCTTGGTCGCACCTCTTCCTGGGCCCTGCAAGAGCCGCACTGCGCCGAGCGGCAGCACGAAGAACGGAGGCCAATAAGCAGCCCCAACCCGGGTGCGGAGGCCTGGACACTGGAGAGGAAATCGGCGGGAAGGCTTGAAAAAAGCAGCAGACTGGAACCCGGCCTCTGCCAATCCCAAGCCGTCAGCAAGAACCGAACCTCGCTCCTCCAAACTCGCTGGAGCCTGGAGACGAAGTGCTCCCAGGGTGCCCAAACCAGCCTGGAAGACCCAACTTGCAAATGAAAGAAGATCCAAGCCAAGTATGCTCGGATTGCGATTTAAGCAGTCGGCCGGTAGATTTTGAAAGCCACCGCCAGAGTCCCACACATCTCTGTGTCCCAGATACTCTCGTCGTGACGAACGAGCGGGTCGGCACTGTCGAACATGCTCGTCATGAACAGACCTGACACAGGCCCTCTCAGCCTACGTGGTACCGTTTGGACTGTTTAAGAGGTCGTCTTCATGTCTCTTGGCTGTGTACAGGGCTGAAGCTTCCAGCCTTGAAGGTTCCAGAAAGCTTCGTATGGAACTGTGCCGCTGAAGCAGTCAAAGGCGGCTTTGTCCTCCGGCACGTGCCCTGCAGTCGATCACGAAGCAAAGAGCATCCGAAGGCTCGGTGTCTCACTTCACTGTGAGCCGCTGGGCCTGGACCATCCAGGTCCAGAGCTGGCTGGTCAGTGGATGGAGGCTCTGGGAGCTTGCATTCCTCGTATCCCTGTATACCTTAGCTGCCTAAGCCTGAGCTTTCAATGCCAACATGCACGAAAACCTGCAGCGGGATTTCATCCAGTAGGACAACAAAACTGATCAGAGTATCGACTCGGGGCTGGTTGTGGTCAGCAAGCACTCCGCTTCCTCGACAGCACCGGTCATCTCAGACGAACTGAAACGTTGGAAGTCACCAGCACAATGCCCGCGAATCCAGATGCGCTCGGCATCCAGGCACCTTGCGCGCAACTAATCAAGCCACACATATAGCTCCTGAAAGCCTTTGTGTGAGATGCAATGTCCGTATGCTTCTCAGGCCCTCGCCCGAAGGTGAGCAACGGTGCACAGAGATGGTTCGGCCTCCGTGGCCGCAGATGGCAGCGCGCGGACGGCCATCGCTTTGATGGGCCGCTTCGTGACCGGAAGGCAAGGAGGGTTTGGCTCAGATAAGCTCTGAGGCCAATGCCTCGCAAGGTGCGGGGCAGGGTGGCCACAGCGAGCAAAGACCAGAACGGATCAGAACGGTGCCTGCGAAAAGCCGCAGGTGATCCTCCAGCTCCTCATCCCGCCTGAAGCCCAAGGCCTCGATCTCTTCCACAGGCGGCCTCGTGAACTTCACAGTCAGACCGTCTTTTTGAGAAGGTCCGAATCGCCGTGCCTTCTCACTGGATCCCAGCTCAGAATAATTCCTCGGCTTCGGGACAAGCCATGGCGAGCGTTGTTGCGTGCTTGTCATGCTTCTTCCTGCCAGGGCGCCCTGGCCGGCCAGTCTGCGCAAATTCTGCAGGAAAATGGACCGTGACTCCTCCGGGATCTGTCCGCCCACATCCAGGGAGATGACCCAGTCCATGGTCTCTTCTCCCTCCGCAACCTCAGAAACATGACAGCCACGGTAAGGTCGCTTTCTCTCTTCGTGGAGAGCGCCAAGGCAAGGCGCCGGAACCAGAGCTCCAGGGCCGTGCTTAAAGGGATTCTGAACTTGGGCCTCCACAAGAGCGAGAAGAGTAGCAAAGCGTCATGCCAGCAACGCTTCTGATGACTTCCTGCGCTGCCTGATCGGGCTCTGGCACCGACAGGTACTTCTCGTAGAGCCAGACCTGACGGCGCGAGAAGAAGCCGTTACGAGTCGCGATATTGAAACAGGCAGCGCGAAATGGAGGCTGCAACGGAAGCCAGCCTGGTCGCTGACTTTCCAAGTCTCTCTGGCTGGAAGCTTCCACTTCAGCAGGCCCTTCGTGTCGAAGCCAACGCAAGCGAGTTGACCACAGCAGCGTCCAGCGACATAATTGATCCAGTATACCCAGGCTGCAGGGCAGGCAACACTTGGTTCAACCGTCTTCTAAGTAACTTTGAGCAACTATCAGAATGACAAATCTCTGTCGTGATGCCCCTTGCCTAGAGGACTGGCTTGGGACTCTGTTCTGGGATCCATGTCCGCGACATTGCCAAGTGATTGCCCGGCATCCTCAAACTCGAAGCCTGTGGCCTGACAAGTGACGTGGCCGCAAAAGGCGTAATCTTGTTTAGGTTTGCAACGAAACTCAGAAGGGTGAGCCCCCAGTGAATGGCACGTGCTCCATTTCTGGCCCGGCGGCATGTCTGTAAACGTGCGGGCGAAAATTCTTGGTTCGCTGAAGCAGGACTTTGTGGATTTGACGGTCTTCGAATCTGCAGCCAAGCGACACAGCGGGGATGGGCTGTCCGGATGGTGAAGCTCAAGTTATTTTCGGTCAGGTCGGCGACCTGATGCCACGGGACAAGCTGTCTTGTCCATCAGATCACTGACTCAGGAAGCTGCTTGACTTCGAAGCTCCCGAACAGTATGCTCTGACCATTCTCATCCAGCTGCCATGCCATACTCGTTCAGCGTGGCCGTTAACAGCGGGTTTGCATCCAATCCGACGGCAAGATGGCCCCAAGCTCGAAGCTCCCCCACCTTGCCAACATTCTTGACCAGCTGAAACCCATAAAGGTCATGTCTGCACTCGATGCACGATCCGGCCAGCGAGCCACGGCCACAGCCAAGATCCACAATCTGCAGGGCAGGCAATTAATTACACCACTTTCGATAGCAGACTTCGCGGGACGCTTTGATGACGCATCCTGAACGTTCGGGTACATTGTGGCTTGAGTCAAAAACCTCCCGTGGCAGAGCCCTCTAACCCCCATGATTCAAGGCACCTTTGGAGGTCTTCCAAGCCGGTGCTGCTCGGTGTGAAAGAAATCGACCAGCTTGGCCGAAAGCCCCTGAAAGGGTGCAAAATGGATAAGAACCTAGCTTAGGTGACCTCCGGTTCATACGATCATCAGACTCTTCAGCAGCATGGGATACGCCGCCATTGCGTTCAGCAATGTGCTGGTGACTGCTGGTGTCAGCCCCGTTGCGCTCAACTGGTGCATGATTACTCAAAGGCAGAACGGAACGATGCACGGGCAAACACGCAACCCCATGTGGCGATTCAGTCAAATCCTAGGAATCGGCGAAGTGACCGTTTCCGAACAAACGAACTCTGGGTCCGGGGGTTGTTCGATATTCTTGTTCCACATTTAATACCCCTTGCGCTCGGCCTTGTGCACTCTTGCGTGTTTCTTGCGACACGAGTTGTTCATGCCTGCAGCTTGTATGATCATGAACTTCAGTATCTTGAATACCAAAACATGACCGATGCAAGCGCTTTGGTTTCGGGCTGGAGGCTTAGGATGGGAAGGTTCCAAGATCCAAAATACACCATGGGGCAACCGCTGTTATATATTGATATATAGGCATGGTACTGCCCTTGCGTGCTCTTGCGCCCGTCCTTGCGAGTTCTTGCGCGCACACCATGTCTTGAAGGAAATTTCGATAGTGACAATACGAATAAAGCGCCTCCGTAACGCAAAGTCAAGAGAAGGGGGTTTAGATCAACCCTCTGTGGCGACGGACGACAGACGGAATGGCAGGCACCACACTGGAATTCTACAAGCTTCCGGCACTTGCCAGAGTCGAAAAGGCGAAAGGCTACTGAAGCAGTTTTCTTGAAGCTGTCGCTTTAGGCCACTCTTGGGGCTTGGCAGGATCATGCTCGTAGTGCCGCGGGAAGGTCTGCTCTGGAAGCACCTTGGCTGCTCGAAGGAATCAAGGTCATAAGGAAACTCCGGTCTCAGAGTCTCTGGCTTCCATGCCCTTGAGGTGCAGATGGCGCCATTTTGCAAGATCATCCGGAAAGGCTCCAGCAGCTGCCTACGCGATGCTCGCAGGCTCACAGCGTTCTGAGCATGGCCCAAGGCCACGTGGCGAGGCTGCAATGCCTCGTTGCAGTGATCTTCCAGGGCGGGCTGACCGCAGTGTCGAAGGCGAACCTGAACCCCCAAAGCCGACAAAGCGGACGTCTCACCATCGATTCTTGCAATGAGGTTGTTGCAAACGGCAACATGCACAGAACTCCGAGATGGACCCCAAGACGCAGATTGGGTATTGTGCGGCGAGGCAGAAATCTGCCACTTCGAACTCCACACTCTGCAGACCAAGGAGGCCACGAAGCAAACTTTTCGAGTATACCGGACAGGGATGCGCCGATCGCCGAGATACCTCAGGGTCTGTCTGAAAGGACGTTCTCACATGATCGCAGTGCAAAGTAAAGCCTAATCTGATGCAGAGAGAATGGACGAACCTAGACATGTTCTAGTGACCCGAAGTTGCCTTTCCATGATGAGCTCAATGTAGTTGCCTTCGCACTGCATAAGTCAGCACAAGCACGGCACTGAACGAATGTCAACCACGACGAACAAAGGCAGCTGCAGTCGTGAGCCCAGTGCCTTCGCAGGACCTGCATTTGTCAGAAAATCGTGCTTGTCCCTGAAGTTGAAGTGGAGGCGAGCGCGCCCACCTTGTCGCCCTGTGGAAAATTGCACCGCGGCCAGTTCCTGAGCACGTCTCCGGCCAACGGAGTCGCCAGTCTGCACACCACAACCGGCACCTTGGCTCCAGCACATAATCGTAGAAGTCGAAATACCGTTGCATCAGCCACGACCTGAACGCTAAGCGAGCACGGCCTGACCACAGACTTCCCAGTGACACGAGACATGCCACCACTGAGGCCTGGGCGGGCCTGCAGCAAAATGGTCACAGTAGGCCTCTCGCACTGTCGTGCTGTGTAACGGAAACCGCGTTCCGGCAAGTGGGAACTCCTGCCTGCCACTGACATATGGGCATCCAGTTCAAAAGGACCATGTTGGGGCCTGAGCACATGCTCCGCACACAGCACAAAAGAGCACTGCAGCCGACCTTGCGCATGCAGTTCGGCTTCCGTAGAAGGAAAGCGATGCCAAAGGACATCTGCTCTCACACGCAGCCACCACCGATACCTGGAAACTGTCAGACTGCGCAAATGGACAGCGCAGTTTGCCGTTCCTCTCTCAATGCACACATTGACTCAAAAACCAAGAAGCTTTGTAAGCTTGTCAATAGCAGCTGGGCTTCAGGCGAAATGCCGGCCTAAGCACCACGTGAATGTCACTTCAAGCGGTTCAACTGCAGTGAAGCGTGTACACACTTCATATTGCCTCCATGCGCTGCTTCATGATTTTTCCACAGTAGCCCAATAGCCTCACAGCTCAAGCAGTGCAAATGCCACAGAGTTTAACTTGATCCAAAACACGAGGAGCGAGCCTGAGTTGCAGAATGATCTTTTCACGGTCCTCGGCCGAAAGCTGCTGCACTAGCAAGCAAGAACCTGCTGCTACGAAACAAGTTACAAGGGATGCTACAAGCTGCTACATGTCCTGTAGGCAGCAAGACTGGGATGCAGGCCCAACATAGCCTCAAGCTACCGCAAAGCCTATGCTATGAGTATCTTTGAACGTGTAACGTCCACTGCTGGGCTTTGCACCCCGGCCCTTCCCTCAGCCATGTAGTTTCAGCAGCCGAAAATGGCCGGTCCTCGTTTTCACCACGCGAAAGAAAAAGACATGCGACAATCAAACTGCAGAGACACCGGCCGGAATGCAGTGTAGCTCTGTGGCATTTGGTAAGAGACCTTGCGGATGTCCAGATTCAAGATGTCATTGGTGACAGAGCGCTCAAGCTGTCGTGAAAAAAGAAAGGTCCGCGCTTGCGGCCCTCTGGCAGTCCTGCGCATGGTCATGAGGTCCAACGGTGCAGGCATGGGGTACACCAACAGTTAGACCGGCTTGATCTTTGGAGTTACGGCTGCAGGGCCACATGTCATGGACGCCATGCCCTCCGACCGAAGTCCACACAAAAGCACTACGCACATGGCAGACATCTCGTAATGTCCCAGTTCGTGCCTCACCATGAGGCACAACAACGAACAAATCGGCTCTTGGCTCCCCGAAAATCGGCAACACCTCGAATTGGCAGGTCCATTCAAAATGCAATGTCATGGAATGCAAAAGTGTACGCCACATGGATTCGACTAAGGGCCAAACTCGATGAAGTAAAAACCAAAGCTCGTGCGGGGAACAGACCTAAAGCTTCACGAGATATGTACCATTGAACACATGATGGTTCAGACGACTAAAGCAGCAACAACAACAATCATCAAATCATGCTGAATCGCAGTGGCAAAAACCTGAGATTCAGACTCCACGAAATTGTCCGCTCAGACATACGGCGGCCGTAGCTGTACAGAAGGAAACGAGACAAAAGCATCATGACAACACTTGTCAAATTCCTTGTGTCTCAAGATGAACTGTGTTTTCAAGGGCTTCGCAGATATCTGCAGCGATTGACTACTACTTTCCCCAGCTCAAGAACGGCAACTTGATGCAAGCTTGGACCTGCCTCCTGAAGCTGCCACACTCGTCGGGGTCATCAACATCTGTGCATATTGCTCTGTTTCCGATGCCGAGGACTGGTTGCGTTTCGACGAAGCGACCTGCATCAAACCCGGAAGAATCGCTTCTCAGCCGCTTGGTACAAGGCTGTCAGCACGCTCGCCTATGGCAGGAAAGTCGACCATGCGGCAATGTGTGGCATTGTCAATGCCGCACATTGATGGTGATGTCGGCGTCGACCCGCATTGCTTTGATGCGGGAGCTGCAGCTTCGCTGTATAATTGTGTCCATATTTCCTGCTTTCTGCGACCAGAAACCTGCAAAATATTGGACTGTAAGCTGCAGAGCTGTCCGACCCGCGGTGATGTCTGCTGTTGTAGACTGAAAATCGCGGGATAGGCAGAAAATGAAACAACGAAATCATTACCTCACTTGTGTGCCATTAACCCGAAAAACTCATGGCTTCGGTCATAAGTTGAAAGGACAACCCAACATAACCGATCGCGGTTTTTCTCCAGATTCGTGGTATGCAAATAACCGTTTGCTGCCTTGTCGCACACTGCTAAACATGCAAAAAAAAAAACACCCTGTCGACGTAAACGGATGAAAAACTCCAATCACATCAAAAACTGGGTTCAATCTGAAAATTGCGCCTCAAAACCACAGCTCCGTTGAGACGGAACCAGCCGACTAAAACGCGTCAGCTTGCTGCAAAATCTATGAAACAGGCTGAACTGATTCGGAAATGAAAAGCTAAGCCAACCAGCCACCTGAGACGACCGTGTGATTGAAGACGACGCCTCCGAAATGCAACCGTGCTGTGCAAGGGCCTGCCTTGCTGAACGCTGCCACTTGAGAGGTGCAGGTAGGTTCCAAATTCAACGAATTTTCGCTCTTTTTCAACGAATTTTCGCCCTTATTCCATCTAACGAATTAAGAGCAAAATTCGTTCAAAAAAAAATGAAAAAGGTGAAGAGCTGAGGGATTAGCGTTGGAGTTTCGTTCGCAGCTCCAGATGGATCAATTTTAGAGCAGAGTCACCACGGTCTAAACACAACATCCTCCACCCTCAAGTTCCTGTATCATTGAAAAATAAAGTTTTCTCATTTATAATAACTCGGTAGCAAGCATTTTTAGTTCATTCACAAAATCCAAGAACTTTAGATTCCCGAAGCTTTTCACCATTGGAGATGTTTACGCACGTAACTTTTCATGTAATAATTGTTTGCAAGCTAAAAGTTGGTGACGATTGGTGGCCTCTCATGCACATGGAACCTTCTGAAACCTAGCTCACCGTTGGTACCCTGAAGCCGAAACCCTCACGTCGAATCTCAGGCCAAAACCCGAGAAAGCAAATGCTGAAACCCAAGAAACTCCAAAAAACTGCCAAAACTTTTCAAGTGAAGCTTGGGACTCCTTGTCGCAGCTTGCCAAATCTGAACAAGTTGTGAAGGCGTAGTGCATGAGGGCTTCCACCAAACTTGCAGTGAGTTGTGCAGCCTCTCAAACTTGCTAGCAGAAGTGCCAACATCTGAAAGTAGACGTTTCTAAGAACCTGGAATCTGTGCGATTGTACCTTGTTTTGATTATGCAAAAAGCCTTCGGTCCGTCGCACGTCTCGAACTGCCTTCTATTTCAATGCTGCTTTAGCATCCTGCTATGTCTTCGGAAAGAGAACTTACACTGCTGAAAAAAAACAATCAAAAACATTCAAATGATACGTGCACGCACTGCAACAAGCTGCTGATCCCAGTTCAGGTTGTTCACCTAAACTCAGAATCTGGGGTCTTGACCGGAATCCACAACCCCAAGGGAACAGTCTGGGCGGAGTAAACTTCCTCTGGGTTCAACATAGGTTTTTGGGGGAGTGTTCCAACTCCGTTAAAAACCTAGAAAGCTCTAGGTCTCTCAGGTCAACAAGCAAACACGTCCAAGCACTGCTGCAAGCAAAG